CAGGGCCAGGTCCTGGAAGCTGACCATGCCGTGGCATTCTGAAAGGTCCCCCAGTGCCCTTTCTCACCGGGTAGCAAGCCAGTTATGAGCTTGAGCTTCCCCTGTGTGTGTGTGTGTGTGTGCGTGTCCGGGTGTCCGGGTGTCTGGGTGTCTGGGTGTCTGGGTGTCTGGGTGTCTGGGTGTCTGGGTGTCTGGGTGTCTGGGTGTCTGGGTGTCTGTGTGTGTGTGTGTGTGTGTGTGTCCGGGTGTCCGGGTGTCCGGGTGTCCGGGTGTCTGGGTGTCTGGGTGTCTGGGTGTCTGTGTGTCTGTGTGTGTGTGTGTGTGTCTGTGTGTCTGTGTGTGTCTGTGTGTGTCTGTGTGTGTGCGTGCATCTGTCTATCCATTGATCACGTCCATCCATTCATCCATCCATCCCGGTCGGCGGACATGCGAGGCCGGCGCGAGGAGCAATAAACCACCGCATCCACAGCGCGCCTGCCCTTCCCATGCTTCTGGCCGTGGGAGTAGGTGCCAGTGTACTTGGAGGTGTCGTCCCACTCCTGCACATTTGACGCCAGAAAACCCGCAACATGCTTGTTGATACTTCCGTTTTGGTGACCTGTTGAATGGGCTGGATCACAAATGGGTTCCTTCAGATGCTATGCAAAGCCTTTGGTGGCCATCAGAACCCTTTCAACAGGACTCCAGATTTTTGGTTGGACTCCGGCGAGCATCAACGAACATGGGTTGCTCCCTGGCAAATCAGCATGGACTCTCTGCAAATGGATAAGGGGTTGCAGTGGTTCGGGCCGAAAGAGCGGAACAAACGAGGCTGAACATTGTAGCCAAAAAGGTTTCTAGTGTTCCGGCGTGCTTAAAACAGAATAAAACGCAAGTGGTTGATGAGTGTGCCTTTCTCCCAATCGACAATGCTTAGGTCTTGCTAGGCGTTGTAACCGCAAACTTCGGCATGAGGCGGAGGTGGCGTGTGCAAGATGCGGGGCACAGGTGATCAGAGAGCAGAAGATAAGTGACCGATCGCAAGCTGCCCTTCTTTTGTTAGTCATTTGAACTCAAGGGCTAGGGCTGAAAAAAACTACCACTCTTGGCAGGGAACCCTGAGACTCCCGAAAAGGGGGCATGCAAGTGGTGCCACATGAAACTCTAAACAAACACAACACAACTTACGACCTTTTTTCGGTTTCCTTTCGGGTTTTCTTGGATCCACTCCCCGCTTTCGCCCTCGAACCGCTTTTTAGGTCCTCCAGATTTGAGAGGTTAGAATAAGGGTACCAACTTTTTTCTGTAGTCTATTTTAGGGGAACCGAATCTCCCAACCAAAAAAGGGGTGAGAAAGGGCACCGATCGCTGGGGGACCTATGCATTGGTCGGTCGACTCCTCCACCGCCTGGCCATGTTTCAAGTCGCTCTGCCACTCTCCCACGTACTTCGACCTCGGAGGCCAGTGAGCCACTCGCGCGCATGCATCGACCCCAAAGCCTCCGGTTTGTATTCTGTCCGGGTTTTGGAGTCGCCTGGCGCCTTGTTTTTTTATTGGGGGGACACCCTCTAGTTGGGTTCTAGGACCAAACATGTTGGAAAACTAGCGGCCGAAGTGGCCTTCACATCTTCGACAGGATGTCTTGATCTTCCGATCGAACTCTTTTGGCCGAATATGGAAACATTCTTCAGCCATGAAATGGCCAAAGCTGCCTCTACCACAAGATTCAAGAACTCCGAGGCCTTCGTGCAATTGCAATTTGGAGTCCGTGCTTGCGGAAAAGTAGAGACCCCATGTTGGACCGAACTCATGAAACGGATTCAAGGGAACGTGCAATGCTTGACATTTTTTCTCCGACTCACAAAAGCTCAGTTTGGATCTGGAAATTGAAGGTCCTTTCGGACTTAAACAAGGGGAACACAAAAGGCTAAGCGGTCGATTTGCTTTGGGCAAGCAGCCAAGAAACACTGGGACGCCAACATGGTTTGGGGCCAAAGGAAGGGTGCTTGGAAGACTTTGTCTACGCGGAATTTTTGATTGCATCCGAGCGACCCGTTTGTTCTTCTTCTTCAAAACATACTGTGGATGGACGAAATCCCGCACCACTGAAAAACATACGAAACCATTGTTGGTTGGTATTTACAGGGGACTCATCATTCCAGGGTTTCTTTGGTGGTGCAGGATTTCGGCCATCCACAGTACTATCCCATTTCCTTATCGGAGACATCCTGGCAAGCGTGGTGCGCGGGGCTGCACCCAGTCCACACCCAAACAGAGGGTGCGTGGGGAGACCCAACCTCCGCGCTTTACATGGTCCTGGGTCAAAATCCAATCCGTACCCCCAGTGAACATCCCAATCCCCACTAGACTACGGGTGGTGAATTCACCTACCCCCAAAATGTGATCCCATTGGTTTTGATGGAAACATCTCACCGAGCCGCTGCTTGGAAGTGTAGGTCCCATGACCTCGGAGCGCGAGCAGATGGCGACTTCCATTTTGCCTTTCTCATGAGAGAAATGAGAAAATCTGTCCGGTGATATCCCTTTAAAACCCACAGGAAAAGAACACATATGCTGAAACGCAACAAGGCGAAATTGAGGTTCTACCCCCAAACCGATGCCTTGCGTTGCTGCGCACTGCGACCTCATTGGCCAAGCGAAGATGCTCGCCCGGAAAATTGGTCTGAGAAAGCATGTTGACTAGGTCCTCCAGTAGAGAGGTTAGAATAAGGGTACCCTTTTTGCTGTAGTCTATATTAGTGCAGAATCCTCCCCAAAAAAAGGGTAAAAGGGCACTACTGAAGAACTTAGTTGACCTCTTGAAGAACAGAAGGCTTGACTGAAAAGAACCATGCCTGCTACAAACTCATGGCTTTGGTCGAATCAAGCATTCTCAGTGGCTTCCCAAACATTTGGAGACTTTCTGGGAGTGGGAAAAGGAGGGCAACCATTTTGAGATCTGCGGCTTTGGGTTCACGTTTGCGTCCAAAGTTGACCCTCGCTCATGCGGTGCCACAGCGCCCGTGGACATCATGTTTCGGTTGGTCCGCAGTGAGCTGCCCCCTGCATACACATGTTGAGGTTCCGCATGGTTCCTTGTTTTCCTTAGAGGGTCAAGCTTTGAGACGCCCCCTTTGCCGTTTTTGGCATTCAGGAGATTCAGCCGCGCATGCATGCCAGGGTGTGCAGCGTGACATTGCAACGTGCCCGCCGGCGCGCAGAACTTTGGGCACATCTAAATTGCATCTTGCCAACGCCCACCTACTATTGAAATCGAAACCGGGGTCGCCAGGAAGAAATTCGTGTGCCTGCAATTGCGATTGGAAGACCTCAAGGTTCGAGACTTGATACCCGGATGGCAGGGTTTAAATGAGGTCTTCAGGACCCCGGAAACACACAGCCGCAAAAAACAAGATCAACTCTCTCCTGCTAGGTTCCATGTCAATGTCAATTTGCAGGGCAGAGCAGAGTGTCACACAAGTACATTGAGGGTTTGGACATGTTTTGGAGCCTCAACCTTTTTCTCAGATCCCAGCAACGGCGAACGCCCGACTTCTTCCTTCTAGTGATGCTCAAAATTATCTGTTTCCCCTAAAGGACCCTGGGAACATTGGTAAGTCCGGGGCTGAAGCTTTCGTGAGTTGTCCACGTACCCTAGGTCCTCCAGTAGAGAGGTTGGAGTAAGGGTACCCATTTTTTACGTAGTTCATTTTAGTAGGGGAACCGAGTCTCCCACAAAAGGCGTGAGAGGTCGGGCACTACCGAAGGACCTAGTCCCAAATGGACCCTGGAGTCTTCTTCTCGTCCCGGGGCCGAGGGCCGTGAGCCTTTCCATCCGACCACTCGCCTCGCGAGAGATGCGAAGGGAAACCAAGGCTGAGTCTGAACAAAGCATGGGTCGCCTTTTTTAGGGGACCCAAGTTTTTTTTCTTCTTCTTCTTCTTCTTATTATTATTATTACTATTATTATTATTATTACTATTACTATTACTATTACTATTATTATTATTATTACTATTACTATTACTACTACTATTACTATTATTATTATTATTATTATTATTATTACTATTACTATTACTATTACTATTACTATTACTATTATTATTATTATTATTACTATTACTATTACTATTACTATTACTATTACTATTATTATTATTATTACTATTACTATTACTATTACTATTACTATTACTATTATTATTATTATTATTATTATTATTATTATTATTATTATTATAAATATATACATATATATGTATTTATTTGGTAAACAATACCAACAACGGGTACTCTCAACCATGGACACACCCAAATGAAGCAAACAGTTCAACAAAATACCCCGAGGTTTTGAAGCTGACTTTACGTGGTTTTGTTCCGTTTGCCACTGGACCCAAGAGGAAGGACCGAGAGGCCTGGTGCGGGCCGAGAAGGCCCAGCTACACCCAGATTTTGGGTCGGGACTGGTTGGGGAGGGCCTCCTCAAAAGGAGACTGCAGCAGAAGCGTTGGCTGAAAAACGTTCAACAAGATATTGCGGGAGTTTCAACCAAGGACTTCAACCAAGACTTCCTGAGCGGAGCCGTCTGCCAGGTGCAAGAGCCACTATGGTATTCCTAAAAGTCTGGGAGCTTGGAGGGTGAGAAAGGGGTCGAATCATTTTGCTGAACTTTGCGGGATTGATCTGGGTTTGCAGCCACTGGCCACGAATTATGCCCGTGGGTGTGGCTCAAAATTAAACAGGAGGGGTAAATCGCAGGCTTTAGTTTTTGGTTCCATTTACCAGAGTTCCATTTTGGTTCCGGTGTTTTGAGCCACAGCCATGTTGCTTTGGCAACTTCGGTGGGTGGACCTCATCTCAGCTAGACAAACTTCCAACCCCTGCCCCGACGGAGTGACGCCCATTCTCGTTCGCTTGGAAGCTGCAGAAAGCACCGATTTCTGTGCATATCCTTGCCACACTCATAGCCATCAGCTCCCACACACTCCCAAGGCTATAGTTACTACAGTTGCAGACCTCAATGAGTCACCCAATTCAGTTGCATTCATTTGCATAATTCATGCACCAAGGCGAGCTCGTAAACATCGTGCAGAAAGGATTGAGACGCTTGCAAGACCCAGTTTGCCCACTTGCAGCCAGTGACCCCTGACTAATGCAGGTGCAACCCTTGACCTGAAAACCAGAATCCCTGTCAGGATGCAGAACGGGCGGCTACTGGTTGACTCCCAAGGCATTTCGGGGGTGCCTTCGCATTTTTTCACCCACTCGTTTCAGAGCCATCCATGTTTTGATGAATCTCTGGTACTGGAAAAAGCGGTGCTGGGTGTGCATTTCGACCTCAGTTTTGCTCCGATTCTTCCAGAAGGGTAGGCATCTGGTCTAGGGAAGAAGGGAAAACCAAGAGGATCCGCACCAATTTCGTAGCCAAGACAAATGCTCGACCTTTTGCAGTCTTGCTCCGAAGACTCTGGAACTAGGGCAGAAATATGGTCGTGCCCCTGACTCAAGCTGGGCTGCCGGCCGTCGTAGACATCACCGTCAGGGTAGATGAATCGACCCTGCATCCGAGCGACCATCTTGCTGCTTACATGCTGTCACTATGGGTTGGACAAACACCGCTACAAACAGCGAACGGAAGGGATTAAGGCTGGCCTTTGAACAAAATCCAAATGGGCGAGGAGTAAAAAACACTTGATGCATCCAAAGAAACATGACAAAACACATCCAGGGAACGCAACAGAAGCTCGAGCACTAGCTACTTGAACTCATTCCAAGCCCCTCCTCGTGAGGTGGCAACTTGCCAAGAAAACACATGGCTCCACCATAGTACAGGTTTGTAGAGGCCTCAGTATAACCCCAGCCAAGTGGAACAGCCCGAGCTTGCCCTTTTTCCTTTCAACACATCTCAAGCAACGGGCGAGATGGGAAGGTTGATGAAGTACGGGGGGGGGTGCGGGGAGCGTCGACTTGTCCACCTTCACCAGCCTTGTGGGTTGGTCGGTCCGGCCGCGAACGCCAACGCCGTGCCTTGCCGTGCTTCAGCCCGTCCTTCCACTGGCCTTCGTATCTGGAGCCGTCTGGAAAGACCTGCGATTTCGCAAGTGACCCGATCGGTAGGAATTCGATACCCCAGCAACCCACTGTTCGTCGATGCAATTCCTAGAGAACCGCCATGTTGAACGGCTTCCAGGCAAGCACAAGCGCACAAATGGACGGTGGCTGGCGACAAAACGGCCGGAAAACCTCAAGTTCCGGACACGGAAACACCTGGCAACTCTCACCTCACCTCACCCCTCGCCTTGTAGTTGTAGCCATCCCCGTCGTTGGCTGCAGCCACTGGCGCCTGAGCTGAAAGCGGGAGCCGCTGGCCGGGCTCCGGGTAGGAAAAGACATCACTCCAGGAAACTTAATCTGGATTGGTGCCAACAGATGTTGGAAGATTAGGGGCTAGGTTTTTTTTTTTGGGTTCCCAAGGGAAACCCAAGGAAAGCAAAGAATGTTTAAGGTAAGTGGCTTCATACTGAGGTTGGGTTCCCTATGAGGGATAGGTGACTTGTCGGAAACCACACAAGTTGGATAGTGAGACCCAACCGAGCAAGTGGACTCTGGGTAATTTCAGTACACGTGTTCCCGAAAGTAACTTGGCTTTTCGAGAACCGACTCTGTACCAGGGAGAATACCCCAAACAAACAAGGGGTGGCAGCACCAGCCAAAAGAAACATCATGCCAGAAGAAAATTCAACTGTCTGGAATATATGGCCTCAACCTGAACCCTGGGTTTTCGTGGATGTGCCAATACCGAACGCCAAACGCCAAATGGAAGAATGGAACAAGCGCCAAACGAGGAATACACAACCTGGGATTCACGGATTACATGCCAACACCTCACACTTGGGTGACCCGTTGAATGGGTTCCGACAAATGGCTTCCTTTCGGACGCTACACATCATGATTGTTCTGCGGCGATCGGAACCAGTTCGTTTATTGAAACTTGTTCAGAGCATGGTCAGGTGTGTCTCAAACTAGGATATGGAACCCCTAACAACTTGCTTTCCTTTTCGGCGGCCCATGGCTCTGAGCTACGCACTGCAACCTTCATTCAACTTCAGTGACTGACCGGAGCCTTCCGGGACTTGCAGCCCGAGTGCCCGCGCCCCGAGCCCCGAGCGCGAGGGTCCCGAGCGCCGGGCGGGCCCCGGCTGGGCGCTCTTCGCCTTCGCGTCGATGGGCGCGGCGCCGCTGGCCAGCTGCTCCTCGTGGTACCCGATCCGCGGGTCACGGTGCCAGCGTGGTGTTGGTGGCGAACCCGGGTCCCCTCCGTTTTTTGCCCATGTGTCCACTATTTTGGTGGCTTATGGCCTCAAGTTCCCGAGTTTGGTGGCTTTTCGGATGGCCATTTTTTTATCAGGTTGCCAGAAGTTCAGGGGAGTCTTGCAATCCATTCTCTCTGGGGATGGTTTGGGGCGGATTTCCATGTGAATTTTTCATTGTTTTTCGCCTTTTGAGGAATCCATATCGTCTCCAACGATACTTCCATGTGTTCCTCATAGTTTCTATGTTTGCAAGCGGGTGCATTTCTTTTGTTTTCAGGGGTCCATGAAAACAAGCGCTTAGGTTTTCCTTTTCTCATGCGTGAAGCTTTCTGTGTCTCGGTTTCTGTATTCTTCTTGGCCCAAAGTTTCTCCGGCCTAGGGCTTTTTGGTTGGTTGAACGGTGGACCAGCTGTTCCATTGATACCTTGTTTTCCATTCCCCATGTTCCCTTTGATTGTCCAAAGCAAAAGGCGACGGGTTTGCGAAGGAGCCCCCGAAGCTTTGGCTGTTTGATTCTGAAGAGTTGTAGACTCCTGCGTTTCGTGGTCCAAGCAATGGTCGGGTTTCGTCTTGCCCTACAGACACGCTTGGATCTCCATGGATTTGTTGACCTACCAATATGCAATTGCAATCAGCTCAGACTCAAATCGCTGCTTTTCTTTGTCAATTTCCCAAGTCCATCGCTTTGACTTTCTTTGAAAAGGTTGTGAGCAGAGAAGAAGCGGCGCATGGAAAGAGCATGCGGAAAGTGTGGAACAAATGGGAAGCCTTTGGCAATGCACCGTCTTGCAAAACAACGCATGGGAAGCTCCGGAATGCGAGCGCTTCGATCAGCCCTTGAACAGGTCTCCTTGAAAGATACATTTGGCTTTTTCCATCAAAATAAAGGGACACCTCCATTGACGAGGCAGGAATGTAAGGATCCCTGTTGAACAAAAACAAGGAAAAAACTAGCGAACGATTGAGAATGACGCTGGGACCAAGGAAACCATCGTTTGGTGCCAGGGTTTGGTAGTCAAAGGAAGGGAGTTGGGCTTTCATTTTCCCGTAGAACTGTACTTCCCAAAAACAAGCCCATTTGGGCTTGGTGCGTTTAGGGAAACGAAAAGGAAAACCATAAACGGGGGGGGGGTGCCTAAGAAAAAAACACAACTGGGTCCTCTAGTAGATAGCTTAGAATAAGGGTACCCATTCTTTTTGTTGTAGTCTAAATTTTAGTAGGGGGTTTCCCTCCCAACCCAAAAAGTTGGCGGTAAAAGGGCACCTAGCTGGGGGACCTAGATAAACTTGGAGGGTGCCCAAGGAAAAAACACACACACGTTAGACACGCGCCGATTTCCGCCGGAGAAAAAAAAACACACACCAAAAAAAAAAAAACAGAAAACAAAAACCGCCCGTCGCGTTCCCAAAAACTCTTCCGGGCTCGGTCGCCTTTTGCCCGGGCTTGGCTTCGGAGCAGCATGCGGCGCCCATGGCCTGGCGCAACGATTCCTTCGCTCGGGAAGGCCCCGGTTCTCCTGAGGACGGACGGCCGCAGAAAAATCACCCCCGCAGATCCGGGGCATGTCGTTTTTTTCAAGGGAATCATGGCCATGGTTGGCGACCTAGATTTTTTTTGATGGCTGGCGATTGGTCATGATGGGCATGAAGCTTGATCGCAGTTTCTGTTCTGTGGTGCGCCGTCTCGCTTCACCCAACTTCACTCAAATCTGCCATATGAGATTGGCTGTATTGATGAGATTGTCCATTTTAATGATGGCACCCAGTTTGGCAGGTTGTTACAAGGAAACCAAGGGGCAGACCCAGCTTTTGTTTCACGCTTCTCCGAAGCTACGTACCGGTACTTCCTTGCGGCGGCTTCCCCAAAGACACGGGGATGGGGAGAGACTTGGCTTGGCATTGATCTCGATTTGGAATCCCAACGATGGAATCCCGACTTTCCCATCTGCGGCCCCGGGCGAATAACGAATTTGAAACATGTCCGATGGAAGGCCCAAGTGTATCCCTGCGAATGGGGAGGTGTCCCGGGGCGACGTCTCCCGAGGGGAAGCCTTGGGCAGCAAGCGGAACCGAACCTTCGGGGCGCCATGACCGTGTCATCCGGGAGACATGCCATGTGTAGAATCAGAGCTGTTTTGGTTTCTGCTGGTCGAAGCACATGCGTGTAGACCCCAGGCGACTTTGCTTTTGCCCGTCCAATGCATCGTTTGCGCGCGAGTCGGCGCGGTGTAGTTCTCACTTCCCCCTGCTTGCCTTTCTTGTCAGATGCCAACGGCTCGTGAATGGTCAAAGTGCCGAGGACGGAGCTCGCAGAACCAAAACGTCCAGTATATCCCTCCTGGGCACTGATCTTGCTCGAGTCCCACGGCTTCCTTCCAAAGTGGTCGCTTGCTTTCTCACAGCCAGTCCAGTTGAGACTGAATCTGGCTGCTGTCGCCGCCAGCGTCGGACCTGCCCCACGTCACCAAGGAGCCGTTTTGCAGGATAGCAGCAAAAGCGCAAAAGGTGGCTTGGATCTGCTGGACGTGCTCCAGCTGCTCTTGCACCTGGCTGCTGTCACCGCCGTTCATTGAATTTCCCCAAGTCACGACTGAGCCATCGTCCAAGATGGCAGCAAACGCTCCCAACGTCGCTTGGATCTGCTGGACATGGACCAACCGCTCTCTTACCTGGCTGTTGTCACCGCCCTGTTCAGGATCGCCCCACGTCACCACAGAGCCGTTGTCCAGGATGGCAGCAAAAGCAAAACCGCTTGCTTGGATTTGCCGGACGCGCACCAACTGCTCGCGCACCTGGCTGCTGTCCCCGCCAAAGGAAGGAGAGCCCCAAGTCACCACAGAGCCGTCGTGCAGGATGGCGGCAAAAGCACACTCATTCGCTTGGATCTGGTGGACGCCCACCAACTGTTCTTGCACCTGGCTGCTATCACCGCCACGTTGAGGATCGCCCCAAGTGACCACAAAGCCATTCTGTAGGATGGCAGCAAAAGCATGATGTGTTGCTTGGATGTGCTGGACGCGCACCAGCTTTGCTCGTACTTGGCGACTGTCACCGCCGAAGAGGCGATGGCCCCAAGTCACCACAGAGCCGTCGCTTTTGATGGCAGCAAAAGCTTGGTCGGTTGCTTGGATCTGCTGGACCTGCTCCAACTCCTCCTGCACCTGGCTGCTGTCACCGCCATAGAGATTATGCCCCCAGGTCACCACAGAGCCGTCGGCCAGAATGGCTGCAAAAGCAGAGCGAGTTGCGCGGATCTGCCGGACTCCGACCAACAGCTCGCGCGCCCAGCTCGGGTCACCGCCATAGTCAGGATTTCCCCAGGTCACCAAAGCGCCATCGTCCAAAATGGCAGCAAATGCTCCTCTGGAAGTGGCTTGGATCTGCTGGACACCCACTAACTGCTCTTGCACCAGACTGCTGTCCCCGCCACAATGAGGATCGCCCCAAGTTAGCACAGAGCCATTCTCCAGGATGGCAGCAAAAGCATCCTCAGTTGCTTGGATCTGCTGGACACGCAGCAAGTGCTCGCGCACTTGGCTGCTGTCACCTCCGTAGTCAGGATTGCCCCATGCCACCACAAAGCCTCCAGGAACGTGGAGTGCGAATGCCTTACACGTGCAAGCTAGCTTTACTGGCTGCACGATTGCATCCAGGCGTTCCCCGTCTCGCACGCCCGCCTCACCCAAAGTCGACGACGGATGCAGCTGCTGGCCTCTCAAAGCCAGCGTCAGGAAGCGGCGCTTCAGCTGTCGTGCTGCCTCAGCCTTCAGTTCGCGGACACTCGCGTCTATGTGCAGCGACACCGAGCAGCTCTTCCCACTTGGCAAGGACACATCCACCATGGCGGCTTCCCGAGGACAAAAGGGCATCCAGCGAGCCAGAATCCAGAAAGCCACTTTGACTAGGTCCTCCAGATTTGAGAGGTTAGAATAAGGGTACCCTTTTTTCTGTGGTCCATTTTAGTAGGGGAACCCTTCCCCAAAAAAGGGGTGAGAAAGGGCGCGGACCTAGTTAAGCAAAGGGCTAAATCTGCTGCAACCAGCGCTACACTTCTTGGACTCCCGATTCGCCCGATCCGGTTCCTTCCGCTTGACAAGGGGAATCAAGTGGTAAAATACCACGTCCAAAGAATGACCAGTGGCCAATTGCTTCCCAGAAATCAAGGGTGCACCTTACACTATCTCCACTTGGTCGACTCGGCTAAATGGTTCTTAACTATAACCCACTTAGGGGACTTACAACCAAGTGGGCTATAACTTCAGGGTTTCTAGCCATGCAAAGTCAAGGCGACAAAAACCTTGCAACCGTCCCCAAAACCAGAACCCCCACAGAAACCCGTGTCATGATGGAATCTGGCCAATGTTGGCTGTTCCCGTAGGCGCTCGCCGTCTCCGGCGCCCCAAAACGGCTCGCGGGCTCGTTTTGACCTTCTGGACATGGGGGTTCCAAGAGCCGAGATTTTCCTCACTTTGCCCTCATCCCAGTCGCCTTGGAGTGAGCCAGGCCCCAAATCTCAATTTCGGGGTCTACTGTTGGTTCTCTTGGCTGCGCTTTGTGATATTCTTGCTTTTCTCCAGTAGTAAGGACCCTGAATTAGTTGATTCACGGGGGGTGGTGTCCGATTTAAGAGGGGATCCTTCTTTTTTTTTGGGACGTCTTGTCCATCCACCAGGTTGATGGACATGCAACCCGTACAAGTTGAACCCGCAAATGTTTTGGATGTTCAACCAAGCCTATTATCGCCTCTTTAAGCATCACCCCCAAGAGGAAACTCGCTTAAATAAAACTCTCAACGGACACCCTTCCCACTGTTGCTCCGAAACCCTGCATGAGGGCAGAATCCCTGCGTAGAGGGAAACACATTTCGGGTTTGGCCCCCTGACACCAAACCAATTTTTCCGCCCTTGCGCTGGTTGGTGGTCGGCACCGGGCCCCCACCTTCGGCCAGCGCTGAAGAGTTCGGACCGCGCGCTTCAAACAGGCCGGAGGGCTCGGTTGTACGAATGGTAGGGAAAAAAACATATAGACACTGCATTTCATCACTCACTTACATGACATAGGGGATGAGAACGGCCTAAACTTCTTGGAACTTGAGTTGTGATTTCTGCTTCGATCTGAAAGCTCGTTTGGCGAGATTGCACCGGTCTTGATCCGAGGTAAGCCTCGTGTACTTGGGCTTCTGACGTCAAGCCCCTGACGCTGCGAGCCAAAGGGCGTCGGAGGCCTTCTTGAAAGGAATTGCAGGCGCCAAACTCTGTCGAATCCACTGGCCAAACTCAAAGTTTGGTAAAGCCGGACAACACCCCGCTTTGCCTATCCCGGGCCGCTCCCAAAAGCTTGCCACATGCGGCAGTCTCCACACGAAAGGTACTGTCGCGCACTTTTGAGCAGTCAAAGTCGTGCACTTGCGAATTGTTCAAATGAAAAAAAAACAGGCTGGCGATACATGTCGCCCACGTTGCAGAGCTTGAGAGCAAGGCGCCTCCTGCCCAAGTTGGCAATGCATCGGCATCTTGAGCCAGAGTTTGGTCGTCGCTTCTTCTGGCATGTCAGCACAATAACGTGTGGATGGAGAAGTTGGGAAATCCTCCATCCATTGGGGTCTGTGTATCACGCCCAACGCTGCCAACCTAAAGCATGATGGCTGCTTGATCGCTTTGTACGCTTTCTAAGGGGTGCTTCCTTAACAACCCCCATGCAAACGGGTAACTGAGTCTAGAAATCGATTAGACCCTTATGGCTCGCTGTGCCTTTGGGAAGCTACAGAGGTTGCCGCGAACGGCTTTCCACCCTTGGTATGTGAGAATTGTCTCATTGCAGCAGCCCCCACTAAAACTGAACAACACCCGCCAAGAGCAAACACCACAACGTGCCCACACAGAAAAATACTAATTAGTATGAAGGCTTAAGAGGCTAAGGTGCATCTTGAGACAGATTCTCAAGCACGTGGACAAGCCAGCATTGAATTAGAGTCCAAGCCGGCGTGATCGAAACTCGCTCAGCGTGCGCGTTTGGTCCGTAAGTGCTGAGATATGAGCTGGCTAGTTCTTTACGCAGGCTCCCGCAAGAGATGGGACAAGTAGGGCGGGGCTCTCCCGTTCTTGAAATTTGAATAGACGAGTAGCAAAAAATCTTTTCGACCGAACCTCATGTGGCCTGATTTATCCCTCCCTCTAAGAGACTATCTTGGGACGGATTTGGCCCGCTAGGGACAACTGGTGAAAGGGAAACATGAAGGAAAGATCAAAAGTACTTGCAGAAAAGATCTACGAGGCGAAAAGGCAGCTTCAAACACAGAAGTCGGGCACAAGGTCCCTTCACAACCCGCACGATATGTCCGAGGAATCGCGCAGGCCGATGCTACGCTCGACTAGGATATACATCGCCATGCCGCCGGGAGGCGTGAGCATGAATTCTCCTCATCCTGACTTGGGTGGAGCCCAACAAAGGTTTGTTTCACGGCGGGGCACCCTCAAAATGGATTTTGGTGATCCTTTTGATTTACCTATAAGATCTCAGAAAAGGGGTACCCTCTAAAAAAGGGGCATGGTCTGAATAGACAGGGTCGGGGCAAGGAACTTTTTGATCGAATTTCAGTTCCCCGCGACGACTCCGATCCTCTTTACCAACCGCCCCCCCCCCCCCCCGGGCCACCCATAACTTGCAGTGCGTGGGGGTTTTCGGGGATCTTCGAAGCTTGCGACACCGCTATGTCTTCCATCTGCTGAGTTGGTCTAGGTGAAGTATGTTTCGACCAAGAAACATGGCGATTCTGTGAAAGACATATACCATCCTGAATCGGTCGTGAGATCAATTGGTATTTTTGCCGCGGAACCTGCTCTTGGGCTTGGCGTTTTAAACCATTTCGAGGGTCAACAAGGCTTGGCAAGGGCCCAGGGGTGTCATTCGGGGCAGGGCCCAACCGGCTAGCAAAGTATTCGTTGTCATTCAGGCTCTTTGGGTGGGTGTCCAAGATTCCCAAGCTTCGGCTTGCTGGTCGAAGCGGCTCGGCCTCGGCATTCCGTGGCCCCACTCGGGCCGCGCGGCCTTCTCACCACAAGGGCCAGTGCATCCGGAAGGCGCCTTTCAGCTCCCCCGCCCTGGCGAAGCCAAGAACAATCCCGTCGCCCGTGGGCTTTCGTGTTTTTTAGGGTTTCGAAGAAACTCGAAGACGTCTTGAAGGGGTGGTGTTTTTTCTCAACATGGATATTGTTTTTCGGCCAATCCGAGGTTGATGATCATCCCAAAATTCGGGACGCCGCTACAAAAGGGGACCAAATCCTGGCGTAACGCAAGGTCAGGATCTTGCGGATGACCTTGGAACAGCCCTGTGACTTCTGATGCCGGACCTCACCGTGGCGGCATCAAAAGTCCCTCTCGGAAAGGATTTCTATTTTCGGGGTCGCTTCCTCTGCCAGTCACCCGCACTGGCCCTCCCGATTCATCTTGGATGTCCACAATTCACCACTGGAAGACAGGATAGGGCCCTTCACGGGGCGAGATTGATTCACCCCCAGAACTCGCTTCTATTTTAATTTGTCCAGAGTGGGGACAGGAAAGCAGGTCTGCATCCCGAATCTGGTGGTTTCAACAGTCCTCTACCTCTACCAGTCTCAAACATATCTCCGACGCCTCGAGGGGCGCATCTCGTCCTTGATATTTTCACTCCCTTGGAACCACACACGGGACTGGTCTTTCCCTGCTTCAATAGACATATGCCACGCAAACCCCCGCGGACACCGACATGCCATGCAAACCAGCTCACCCGTGAAGGTCCCTCTCTGAGGCGGGTTCTTTAATACCAGCCGGGAAATTCGTGTAGTTTTCGCAAAGTCATTGAGTCCCCTGGAAGGTAACAAGCTCACAAGTGATCCGCATCGCCTTCAAGTGCAAGGCTTTATTGCCCGCAAGCACACAAAAAAACAACAACAACAACACAACGTGGGACCCACCAGGACTTAAAAGTGATGTGAACTGCAAGAAACCATGGGTGAGCGACCAAAGGAATCTGGGTGAATGATTCGCGCTGAACATCAGGACCTTCTGAGCTCGGCCGGGTTCCGCCGGCCAAAAGCGTCTTCCAAATTCGTTCACTTTGGGCTGGATCCATTCGTAGCTGCCCCCTCAGAAAAAAAAGGGGGCTTTAAGTAGCGCGAAATGGATTTGGATCTGGACTAAAGAATTCCCCCCTTTTCCTTTGTCGTTTCCTTTGTGGCTCCCTCAAATGCTGAAGAAACCAAGTCGGGTACCGCCGACTGCGGGTTTGCCCATCTCATCCGGACAGCGGACAGCGCCCCTTTTTGGAGTCACGCGGAGCCGAGGTGCATGATCGCCTGACCAGCGTGTCCCCCACCCCCCAAAAAAAGGAGAAGACGGAAGGTTGGGTTTTCCTTTTGGATTTTTCTTTCAAAGCTCAAACAGAGTATCAGATAAAAAAGACACCAAAAGGATGCGGGACTTCTGAATTATTGTCGACGACTTGTGGGGACATTCAGGGAGTCTACGTGCAAAAAGTTGGACCATAGACTGGACAAAGTTCATCCAAACGGGCTTCACATTGAATGGCTCCAATACCCCACTTCTCGCGGCACTGAGTGGTAACCCTGGAACATGAGCTTTGTCCAAAACCCCATTGCCGCCTTCGTCTTGACATGGTTGTACAGCTCACCATGGGCACCCATGAAACCAGGTAGAATCACATACCATGGACAGGGGTTTGGGGCGCTGCTCACCTGGTGCTAAAGAAACACAAGTGGAGAGGTGCACTCCTTTCAAGAGTATGGTCGTCTTGCAAGCCTCCTCCTGTCCAATGTTTTTTTCGGCAAACGGGGGGGAAGGCTTAGCAAACGAGACAAGTACCACATGTCGCGAAACGTGGTCTCAGTCCTTGCCAACTTCGGATCCGGATTTTGTGAATCCGAGGAACTCCCTGAACAACTTAAGGGGAATCATTCCTGAGTAATTTCTGACTTTTTGGAGCAAGCCAAAGTTGACATTCCGAAAGAAACACTTTTCCAACACCACGCTTGCAGAAGAAAACTAGAAGCAAGAGCTTCCACCTACCGTTCAACCTCGCACTACTCACTTCCTGAGTAAAAAGGGCAAAGCAAGCTCCAAACCTCTTCCTTTGAAGTGGTCCAACCCCAAGACGTGACTGAAATCCAAAAGCGGGGAACTCAGGGTCCCGGAGTGAGACGGCGGGCCTCGTAGTTGACAGACTCCGACAGCCCGGTGAGGGCCGCGAGCATTAACCTGGTCACTTGCAATGCCGGCAGTGAATCAGCGCGCAAGACCTCCGCCAGGTCCTCCAGTAGAGAGGTTACAATCAGGGTACCAACTTCTTTCTGTAGTCTACTTTAGTAGGAGAACGCTCCCCGCAAAAAGGGTAAAAGGGCACTACTGGGGACCTGGTCCGTCTCTAGGGTGTAGCCGTTCGAATCGGAGAAGATACAGAATGACATCGTAATTTCTGCCGTCAACATCTTGGGATTTATGCGGCACAGCGTGGAAGCTTTGGAAGATAAGGACAGCTCAGGATGGAAGCGACGGGAAGGAGCTGGACGACTTTCTTCCTCTCGATTCTGGGAGAGTCATTGGGAAAAAGAAATGGAGAAAGAACACCAACCAACCTAAGGTTGACCCACCATTAAGATCTGGTATGCCTTCTTTATGTTTTCATTCTCCTCAAACCACTTTCACAGTCCCCCGTACAAAAGAGGGTATCAACAAAGATGACCCATCCAATTCATTTTCGTATTTTCAATCACGCACTTCCCACTCGATCTAGCGCTTGGCCCCCCTTTCCTGTTCCTCCTGTCTTCCAACTTTCCATGAACTTGCCAAACCTTCTTAGCATATTCTCGCTTTCCTGAGCGGATGGCCCAAACCAAGCCCACTAAAAAGGTCCAATGCCAAAGAGTAAGCCCATGCTCACAGGAATCCTCCTGGGAGGGTTGGGTACAAGCTACGGAGGTTTCAAGGCTCGCGACCCACTCGTCTAGGTCCTCCAGTAGAGAGGTTAGAATAAGGGTACCAACCTTTTTCTGCAGTCTACTTTTAGTAGGGGAACCCTCCCCGAAAGGGTGAGAAAGGGCACCTAGCCGGGACACCTAGCCGTGTTTTCCTCGGGCACGGCACTGGCCCCGAGCGGTTCGATTTCGAACGCCTCGCCTGGGCCCAAAGCCACTGAGGAAGAGCCGGGACAGCGGCCTGAGAGTGGCATGGGCTTCTGGCGTGTTGAGGCTACCCACTCTCTTGGTGGTTACCGGAAAACCAGCAGGAAAACCTCATTTTGGGGGGTCCCCCAAAAGAAGACGCACATTTGTTTGGTTTTGTTTGTTTGTTGCTTAAAAAAAAAACCGGAAGCTTCGAGTTTTGGGTTTTCGAGCCAGTAGGTGTTTTGCGCAGACTTGTCATGCATTTGGCACACAAGCAGTGCATGCATATCCAAATGAGGGAAAAAGGTCCGAAGAGCCACATCACATCGTCACGCTTTTTGCATGTTCTTGTGTGACCTGCTAGGTAAAGACACACTTTTGAGTGAAGCCTCGCAGCCTTTGCCTGTTCCAAACGGGTACCCGTCTAAAGACTCGATTTGGAGCCCCGGCTGACTCTGGAGAGCCGCCCAGGCAGCGACTGGCTTCGCCTGGGCGCTTTCCAACAGGAACCCACGGGCTGCCCTGCCCGAAAGAAAAAAGTGGCTACTTGGGGATCCAGGCATGGGTCTTTGGGCAAATTACAACATTGCCGGGAAGAAGCGAAGGCCCGGGTTGCTTTCTGAAAATTGGGGCCGGTTGCACGGTCAACCGGGGTCTCTGTGCTGCCCCTTGAATTTGTGTCTTAGGCAATTTTTCTTGTGCTTTAGCCGGCCCGCGCCCAACTGGGAAAACAAGGGGGCCTGGACACAATTGAGACCTCGAAACGATCTACAGGTCTCTGTGGTCAGCGGGGGGCTGTGGCACAATGGCAGCGCACCGTGGGTTCTCCGGGGAGGTCGCCGGTTCAAGTTTGGCAGCCTCATTCTTCACAGAAAGTCAAAGAAATTGGACTTTGCGTCTGAGCAGAAAGGTCTAGTACCGAAGTGAGACCACAACTAGGTCTCCCAGTAGAGAGGTTAGAATAAGGGTACCCTTGTTTCTGTAGTCTGTTTTAGTAGGGGAACCCTCTCCCAAAGAAGGGCACTACTGGGGGACCTAGACAAAGAGTTAACCTCAACTGTGACACTTTTGCGGCCATCATCTTCGAAGGGAGCCTTGTGATGCGTGAGCCTTCTTGGTTTTCTGTGTGGCACATGTTACTTTGCTACATGCAAGGCCACTCCCAAGTGTGGGAAATTGGAGAAGGAGTGGCACCGGCAGAATGCTGAGTCAATGTGTCTCAAGTGCGGGCTGCACGAAGGAGCGTAGAGGCGAACGTGAGGAAGCAGGTCTTGAGCAGGGACAAAGTCAGAGGTCATGAAACCATTTCAGTCAGATTTTTGCACCGCAAAAGAAACATCAGCGTGGCTCGTGTTGGAACCCAGAGTGAGCATGACTTTTCATTTGCCAACACCCTGTTTGCCACCCAAAAACAGAACATACAGTAGAAAAGGACTTGTCCCCTTCGGGGTGGTTGATTCTCACCAGCTTCCCGGCACAAGAAGCCGAGTTAAAGGACCAAGCGACCACTGGAAGTCTGGGATAACTCCACGCAGGCAGAATCCGACCAATCCGTTTTTTGGACTCGCCAGGTGCTAGGTCCTCCAGTAAAGAGATTAGAATATGGGTACCCTTTTTTTCTGTAGTCTATTCTATTAGGGGAACCCTCCCCCAAAAAGGGGGTAAAAGGGCACTACTGGAGGACCTAGCAGTGGAACCCAATGCCATCCATCTGACCTTCTTTTTGGGACATGGACCTTTGCCAAGCGCCAAAACAAAGTGATCACCACACCTGTGATGCCATTCGGCAGTCCACCTGGACCAGCAGCCTTGAATGAGGTTTTTACCGGGTGTCACATATTTTGATAGTTGGGGAAACTAAAGGTGATCTTTCCCGCCAAACGCGGAAGTGCATAGACTCTGTTACCAAGAGAAAGAGGTCTGTGACGGTCTGTGCTCTTCCA